GTGACATATAAATAAATAAATCACAATTAAGTGACCGACGAAAAAAAATTAAAAACGATTTTAAACGAAGCAAAAAAATTATAATTGAGTGCAAAGAAAAACATTTAATCACTATTAAATAAAATTAAATGAAGAAACGATAGATTAAAAAATAATAGGAAAAATAAAACTTTAAATATTAAAAAAATTAAATAAACAAATTAAAATTAAAAAAATATATATAAAATAAAGAAATAAAATAAGGTCAAATATATTATAATGAAAAAGGATGAATAAAATAAATCAGAATTGAATGCAGCAAATTAAACTAAAATAAAGCAAAATGAAATGAAATAAATTACAATAACATGAAATAAACTAAAGTAAGAAAATTATATAATATACCAACTAAAATAAAATAAAAATATACATTCAAATTACAGAAAATAAAATAAATACAAGAAAAACAAAAGAAAATAAAAAAAGGAATTCAAATAAATTAACAAAAAAAAATTTTTTAAATATAAAAAATAAATAAAAATAAAAAAAATTAAGTTAAATTAAATTAAATAAGATAAACTAAAATAAAATAAAAAACAATAAAATAACATAATACAAAATGAAATAAAGCAAAATGAAATAAATTAATAAAATTTAAAAAAACACCAAAAAATAATAATAAGAAGAAAACCAAATAATGATAAGAGATATTAAAATCAACCGAAATAAATTTAAAACAATATCCAACCAACGAACCAATAAAATAAAAGAAAAGAAAAAAGAAACATTAATTTTGTTGTTGAAAAACAATAAATTACAAAAAATAGAATAAAAATAAAATTTAATTAAATAAAATGAAATAATTAAAAATTAATTTTAATAACATAAAATAAATTATAATATATTAAAATGAAATTTTATAAAACAAAATAAAATAAATTTAATCAAATTATTCCCATTTAAAATAAATAAAATATTATCATGAAAAATTTTAAATAAAATTTGTAATATAGAAGGAAGCCAAATACATTAAAATATTTTTACAAGCAAAATAAAATAAACAAATTAATAAAATAAAAATAACTTAAAATAAAACAATTTCAAACAAATAGAGATAAAAGACATTAGAAAAATTAAACTTAGAAAAAAATGTTAAAATAAAATAAAATGGAAAATATAAAATAAAATGAAAGAAACAAATAATAAAATAAATAAACAAATTTAATATAGAATAAAACAAATTTATCTAACATAAAATGAAATAAAAAAAATAACAAAATGCACCGAAATAAATGAATAAAAAATTGTAAAAATAAAATAAAAGAAAAAAAAACAAATTCAACTTAAAGTAAATTAAAATAAAGCAAAGTTAAATGAAATAAACAAAAATAACATAGAATAAAACAAATTAATCCAGCTTAAAATTAATTTAAAAAAATAATAATATTAACCAAAATATATAAATAAAAAATTGTAAAAATAAAATAAAAAAACAAACCCAACTTAAAAAAAATAAAAAAAAAATAATAAAGCAAAAAAAAAATATTTAAGTATCAAATGTTATTGTATGTATATGCGCTTTGTAACTGCTGCTAACTTATTTTTTTATCATTTTATATAATTTGGCTTGTTTCATATACCAGGACTTAAATCCTTATCTCCCAAACAGCTGAAAGCACTGCTAATTTGGCAACTGTTGCCGTGTTAATTTAAAGTAATTATTTTTAAAAATAAAATTTATTTAACTGCATAGTGTTAAAAAATAAATAATGAAATAATAATAATTAAGTAAATTAAATTATATTAAATTTAAATATTTTAGAATGGAAGAGAAATGAAATAAGCAAAAAAAAAGCATATTTAAATAAAATTTAAACAAATTTAATAAAATGGATTGAAAAAATTAAATGCGAATAATTTAAATTAAGATAAGATAAGAAATTAGTTAAATTCCAGAACACAAAAATCAGAAATGAGATACAAAATACTTTAAACTCTTAATTAACTACAGTGCAATAGCGCATACTCTAAATTTATATACGAGTTCATAAATATATGTATGTATATAGAAAAGTGTGTGGGCAAAATTTGAAAGAGCAGCGATTCGCTGATTTATGGCAAAAAAGCGTTGGTTTGCCAACTAAAAAAAAAATTACTTATTTGTTTAAATTTTATGCACCAGTTATTTTGCCTCTCCAATTTAATAGCATGCAAATACGTATGTGTGTTTGTGTGCGCCCAGGCTTATTAATCAAGTTTATAAATCATTAAAGTCATATTTATTAAATCGATTTTTATTCTCCCGCTACACTTGAATTATTTTAAAATGCAAATGCTACATATATTACTTTGAGCATTTTTTTTGTTTTGACATTTGCTAATACTTTTTTCCATTGTTTCGTGTATATGTGTGCAATGTTTGTTGTAAGTGTGTGTGAGTTTAATTTTTTCTCGTTTTGTGCATAAATATGACTTTTTTCCTTCTGTTTTATTTTTTTGTTGTTGTTGTTTTTTTCTTTTTTGCTTCTTTATATAATCCTCTTGTTTTTAATAATTTATATATCTTACTTTTCGCTTAATTTGTGTTATACATATTTTGTTATTGTTGTTGCTGTTCTTGTTTTTTGTAAAAGTATATAGTTTATAGTTTATAGCATAATACCGAAGAATGTCAAAAATTTGAGTAAACTGTACAATTTATACAAGAAACGATATCTATCCAAATGTATGAAATTGAAATCCGTTCTGACATATTCCGTTTCCGGTTCGATTCAACTACATTTACGCGCTCGCCGCTGGAAACGTTTCATGCGCAACGACCATTCGTCTTTCCATTCGAGCACCACCGAACTGGGTCCGATGGCTAAATAGCCCGGTGCCGCTTCAGCATCACGTCCAAGTATGAGATATGATCTGTATGTGAAGAGAGTGAATGGCGAAATTAAGAAAATTAGCAAATAGTTAAAATGAACACAAAAAAAAAAAATATTAAATGTTCTTCCACTTTGAAGGTGGAATGTAGAACAATATTTTATAGATAAATGTTTTTAAGAAATATTTAAAATTTCAAAATTCTCAAAGCAAAAGTATCTGAGGCCAACTTTTTTGGTTCATTAAAAATACTTTTCTTAATATTTTTAAATATTTTAAAATTTTTCTGAAACAAAAAAATGCACAAAAAATATTTTTAAAATTATAAGCGAGTTTTATAAAAAATAAAAGATTTTAAATAAAAAAATAACATTTAGAAACAGCTTGTATTTTTGTGAAGTGACGAATCTCTAGAAGGATCTCACAGATCAGCATAAGTCAGGTCCGTTGTGATGCCACAAAAGTGCATAACTAAATTCACTGCGTATATTCCTAGCGAAGAATGCCCAATAAGAACTTCAATCTTCGGCCCGAAGGATCTCAAAAACACGCATATGGAGGTATTAAGCCAGTTTAGCTTAAGGCCTTTCACGTAAGGGCGTCCTCTATAAATCGATGATTATTTTACTAAACTCATTCAATGCCGCAGACAGTGATTACAGTCCAAGGCCTTAATGGGCGTTTGGTTAGCTGAACATGTAGTTGGGCTACCTGCAAGAAGCCATCCTGCGATGCAGTTTGTTCACTATTTTTTTTTCTTTTTGATAGCAGCAACATTGTATGAAATATCTTTCGATCATCAGGAAGACTGAGTCCTATTCTGATGCATAATTTTCGGCAGAAGATTTCCGCACTGACCTTTCCGTCATGCTCGGAACCAACAGTGAAGAGAAGTTAAGTACTCTTTTCCACCGATAGTTTTGCTCTCTTCAGGCCCACTTGGTGAAGAGCAGTTGCCAGTAGCCGCCGAGGGGATACAATAATGCAGGTGAGGATGATGTTGAGCCCTATAAGAACAGCGGAGTAAACCACGTCCAAGCCAAACAAATAATCAGTCTTATAGCGACCTTTACCAAGACAGATCCGCAGACAGTGATGACAGTCAGGGTGCTTTTATGAACTCCTGATGCAGGTAAGCACTCAAGCATGCTATAATGCAAGCCGAGTATGTACCAGTCACCGGTGAGGCCTAGCTGTCGCTGATATCGGATTTGCGACACCTGTACTGCTGGAGTTTTGGGTCTACGTACATAGGAGACTACCTGATGGTGAGTAAGCAAATGGAAATAAAACTTTTCATCCTCGATTTCAACAATGAAGATATTAGTTGAGAGAACTATGGGCAACGGCTGATTACACTTGATGAGCTGGAGGTAAATATAAACCCAACGGTGGTCAATTCCGCTTCTACCAGAGCTCTTGAAATCACCAAATTTCAAAACCTCGACATGCACAAGGACAGCATGATCCACAAAAACGTGACGCGTTGTTAACGACGGCAGGCATTATTAAAGCGTACTGACAAATCGTACATTTCGAAAAGAGCGCAACGAAAAGTGGACATTGCTGAACTACAATCACAGCGGACTGCCGAGGTATACTGGAATAACCTCACGGAATCGCTTCATAAACTTAACACCCACACCGACGACCATGGCGGAATTTTGGCTCACAAACCGCACGGCGGGCGTACCGCGCCTCAAACAACTATTACTTTTAAGCGCCTGACCCTACGAAATAAACTACGAGGAGTGTCACGAGGTACCTGTAGCGAAGCTTCTTGCTTAAAAAGAACGCCGTCTCTGCCGGAGAGAGAGTTTCAGGCAAAACGACCAAACATGTGGTTTTTTTCGCAAAAGTAGACAAAAAAAAAACAACAGAGCACGAAAGTTGCGAGTGTTAACAATACGAGGTTAGACGAAGCAAATTTGATATTCTAAAATTCTATCACAAGACTAGTTGATCTGATCCAAGATTTCCAGCTGACAAGAAGAAAATGCAAATCTGCTTACAGAACAGAGCTGACTGAAATTATGTTTAGAACATTCACTCATTATGCTTGCAGACAAAGACTTCACCAATCTCACCGCTGCAAGTGGCTACCCGGTACTAGGGGTGATGGGTGGAAAGCCTTAAAAAAGTATAGCAGACAGCGCTAACAGACAGCCGGCTGAGTTACTCAAGGCTGGCAGGTAAGTGGCATGCATTATATCCACTGCAAAACATGGCTAGGATAAGCAAGTTCAATGATTTGCACATCAAGGTCCTTTGGCCTGTACTGAATAAGGATAAGGGAGCTCGTCCTTGTCACCGTACTGCGGAAAAGTTTAAAACCGTTTGCCAGTTCACTGTCTGGACCATATCACAGCGACTTGAAAACATTAAGATTGCACCATAACGGCTGCGTTCCGTATATCAGCGCACCTGATTCATCTTTGCGGAATATCGTTAAACAACTCCATCAGCGCTATCAAGGTAGAGATGGATCTCTTCTCACCTTTCAATAACGTTCGTATCAGAAAAGGCGACACGGCGTCATGCACTTTCGAAGTGTTTAAATAATTCAACGCCATAAACACCGACAGTGACATCCAGCTGGAGACATACCGATTAATAACGAATAATCAAACTATTTAATAGCGAGTGCCATGTACAAGAGAGTGCATTCTCTCGCCCGAAGGACTAACACATTGTAAGACGCTCTTTTTGCCCGTGATCTTAGGCATCGCAGCAGCATGCGCTGTGTCGCAGAGAGCTACAGCTGCGCTTTCAGTGTTCCAAAGAACGCGCTTCATGATATTTTGTGCGTAGACGTCAACAAGTTATACGCATATACGACGAAGCCCCAACGAAACAGGTGTTCGAAGCAACAACCGATGGAGTAAGACGACGAAGGGAAAACCCCGATTCACATAGAAAGTCACGCTTAATCTCACGTATCGAGGAAGATGCGCGCTAGTCGGTACTTCTCTTCGCTGTAAAGGCATTGCAGCTTGGTCTTAGCTAGGTCTAACAAAACAAAGGCGTAAGCAATATCACCTAAGTGAGACCAGTTCAACCGATCCCAACACTAAAAGGAAAACTAAACTTAAAAGTGCAAAAAAAAAAATTAAAAATATTATATGTATATAATATATGTATATATATATGTATGTATATATATTGGTTTGCTACTCACTTATTCAACTTGATTTTGGGGCACTGGCATTCGAGACTCTTACGCGGCACCAGCCACATCATATGCCCCCGACCCAACAGCGAACTCGTGGTACCCTGCAAGGGATTACGTTTAAAAATCGTCTGTATATTTATTTCGTATTTGAATATTTCATTTTGTCGTTCAATCGAAAATTTCTCCGTATTGATGTCCTGTGAAGCGCGATCATGCCCAATGACTTTTGCTAAAATGGCTGTGGGGGAGTGGGGGTGGTTGAAAATAAAACAAAAGAGAAAATTTTTATTTCAAAACAGTTGAACGGCAGCTGAGGTCAGCATAAAATACAATTAAAATTGTAATAGCCCGTGGGCATGAATGCATGCATGCATGAAATTCATTAGAAAATTACAAAACCAAGTTGTAAATAGCAGCGCACTGTTATAAAGGGTTTTCCAATAAGTGGTGTTATATTAATATGCATATAAAAATTGCATTTTTTGAGAAACAATATCAGCCAAATGGCCGCCACGTCTACGCTTACAGGAAATAAAATGAAAATTTTTGCCACCAATAGCTTCGCGAGTTCCATCTTTGAGGTCTTCAATCGGCGTTAGCCTCTGGGTGTAAACCTTAACTGTCACGTGGCTCCCAAGGTAGAAGTCACAAGGTTACCTCCTGGAGAATTAACACTGCGCGGAAACTTTTCTCTTAATAATAGGTCGATGGGTCTGTAGCTTCTGTGGCACATAGCGTCCTCTTGTTGAAAGTTAACACTTTCCTGTTCATTACCATATAATTCTGGTCACAAAAAATCATTCGTCATTTCTCGTTAGCACGAACCATTCACCGTAACTGTTGCTGCAGCCTCATCTTCGAAAAAGTAAGGTTCAATTTCTCCGCCGCATCATAAATGGCACCGAACAGTTGAGGATGAGGTGGCTTTGAACAATAATTCTCGGGTTTTCCGATGCGACAGATGCGACAGTTTTGACCATCGACAAAGCCATCGAGTTGGAAATGGAAATGAAAGATATTTCGTTGAAATTCTGGATAAGTTTTATGCATTTCGAGGAACCAATCGACACAAGCACGACGTTGTTGAGGATCGGCCGGCTTGAGTTCTTGTGTTAATTTAGCTCTTTACGCCATAAGGCGTTCTAAATACGTAACAAATACGTTCTAAAGATGGTTGGGGCATACCCAAAGAACGGCGAGGAATGGACAAATTTGAGATTTCTTCAACGCTTTGAACTACAGCAGCAAAATTCTCAGTTGTTCTGGAGCGACGTGCACGTGTTTTGTTCTTCACATCCCAACTGCTCTATTTTTCAACCAATTTTTGTATTGCGGTACAAGAGCGTGACAAGGACGACCCAACCGTCTCTGCCAGGTTTTCGCCATCTTTGTAGAGAATTTTCATAATTTCAACACGTTCTTAATGGGCGTGTGATAAATACCTCTTATTGGAAAACCCTTTACATATATAAATATAGATATGTATGTATATGTAAATTCGTGTATATGCATGCGCGCTTAGTTTGGTTACTCATACGTACCGTAATCCTCCATGCAGAATTTATTCAAATTCAGTTTTTTCGGACTCGCCTTGCATTTGCCACAATCTGTTGAATATTAAATAAAAGTTAATTAAATTTCAAACTTGAATGCACAGTTCGATGCGCACACACACACACACAATCAAATGCCCGCACTAATATTATTTGTATATTCGTATGCTTTTACGTGCCGTGCTGTGCGTTTGTGTGTTTGGAATCAAATTAGTTTGTCGCGCTTGGGAATTTGGCAAATTTCATTAAAGTGTAATGCACTCTAAGCACTAAATTTGCAATGAAAATTTGATTACAAGTGTAAATTACATTTCACTCTCCGAATATGCGCCCGCGTGTGCGTGCGTATGTGCGCTTTCTACATAAACAGAAAAAAAGTGGCAAGCGAAAAAGGGATTCGAATCGGCATTTCTGTGGTCACATTGATGGCAAAAAGGTGTAGAATAAAATTTAAAAAAATTCAAAAAAAATTCCCGGCCAAAGTTATTTGCCATATTTCGACACTATCTCACCGCCACTTTTGTGGTTGTAAAATTGCTGTGGTCATGCTGACCACTTGCATATTTACTAAACGCCTTCCACCAACCACTTTTTGCCACTTGTGCAACTATTTTTTATTGTCACTTCACAAAATTAGTTATTTCACGCTTCAACAAACTTACATTTTTTCATCTCATCATCAGGTCCGGCCGGCTCTCGATACTCGCTAACCGCACTCTCCGCTTGTATCATATTCGCTTTGGTTGGTAATTCTATTGTGGTGAGGAAAAAATTAGTTTAGTTTTTTTTTTTAGTTCATTAATTTTTAATTTTTTTTTCTTTTAATTCTATTTCTACGCTACTCACTTATACAGGGTGCCACATGTGAGCGCGTTTGTTGATAGCCACGCGCACAACGGTTACACGTTAGGCCAGTTACACCTTCTTTACAGGGACATTGGCCACTGAGGTGGTTACAAGTTTTGCCCGTAGAGCCAACAGGATGACAGTCGCAGCCTGAGGAAGAGAAATGAAATTAACGAAAATTAATAATCTAAAAAAGAGTCGACAGATTTTTGCAAAACTTCCCAATAGTACTTAAAAAGTTCATGTAATTGTGAATACTCTATACTCTCCTTGCAAGAAAACTGCTAGGAGTCGAAGCATTATACGAAGGCTATTCTCACACTGAGCTACTCCTTTCCTTGTGTGATCGACCGCACAAGGACCATACCCAATGGCTAGGAAACGAGCGCCCTTAACCTTTCCCTTAAACTAATCAGAACTTCCACATTTACATATTTAGGGCTGACTGGTGTCGCAATTGGGACCACGGAGAGAGTTTTAATACTGAGTATATACTTTTCAAAGTCTAAGAAGTGGATATTCTCAAACTTCTATGATTTAACAGAGAATGGAGAAGGGGATCATGTGCCTTGGATGGGAGACCTCCGCCTTGAAAATGACCCACTCAAGCAAGCAATTGGAGTGTCCGGTCCTTAATTGGGAAGACGCCACTGTTCAACTGCCGCGGTGGCCGAGAAGCTGAATCCTTGCTAAATCGTCACGCTCCGTTGAAAGAAAATTACTAAGAGACCATTGATGCTTTCTATGAGCATCTAAAATGCAACGGTGATATATGTAAATTTTGGTTGACGACTTCAATGTTGGCCGAGTCACCAGGCGGAAAATTCAGTTCCCATTGCTATTATTCCCTCGCGCTAGTTACGCAATTCAAATCGAGTCAACTAGTAGCCCGTACGTCGCTTTTTCTTTAAACCGTTCCCCAACAATTGGAGGCACCAAGTGAAGCCACGTTTTTCACCACCTGATATTTCAAATGTAGCGGAGGTCATCCGGTTAACATAACCTGGCTAGTGGAGTTCCTCTCTTAACTATGCCTAAACCCATCATCGCTTTAACTTCTAGTACCAAGAGGCTAAATATCTATTCAAATAAATTATTTTTACAAAACTCCTTAAGTCAAATCATTTGAAATCGTCAACGCTGACTCTTTTATACGATAGGGAAGAGAGTGGGCGACCTGCTTTTCAGGGTATAAGGTTTACGAATTTAATGAAAAATTTTTGAAGTGGGAAAAAAACCAATTTGGAAAACAAATATTTTCCTGCCATTTAAAAAAAAACTTGAGACCAGCTATTCAAATAGTCCGGTTCATGATCAAAAGAGTAGTCTGCTTTAGAGGCTTCAAAAATTGATTATTTTTATTTTCTGAAATCCATTTTAAAGCTAATCCTGAACTAATCCTGAATATGTCTTCAAAATATCAGTGGCCAGATTCGGCATTTTTTAGAAGCTAGAACAGTTTTAGTAGCCGAGCGTTGAGCGAGATAGACAAAAGTATTATTTTTTTGCAACTTGAAGTGTTTTTTTTTTGTTTTTTTTTTTTTTTTTTTGAAAAAATTGAATTTTTTTTTTCAAACCTAAAAAGAGTTTAAATTTTTTTTCTTTTTTTCTTTTTAATTCTTATGGAAGGAAAACTAAATAAATAAATAAAAAAAAAAAATGGCTTTAAATGTTTTGAATGCATTGCACGATCTCCGTCACCGGGCCGTTTCACAAGTTCATACTGCAGCCGCTTCAGAAAACTCATCACCGCATATGACTTTTTCAATATCGGAAAATTCTAATAATTTTTATCGGTAAAAGTTGTAAAAAAATTGTGTTTTGAAGCTTAAATACAGTACCTCAGTGTCTGAAAATTTCGTTTACTGCAATGATTTCCTTCCCTTTCAAAACAAAAAAAAAGAAAATTTCTGAAAAAACGCTAAAGAAGTTCAATTTTAATCATTCAACACATTTGACCTATATATTGCATTCCTATTATGAACTAATGAAAGATTGAAATTCAAAACTTAAAGCCCATCAAAATTAGTTTCGAAAAAATTCCTTCACCTCAAAGATTTTACTTACTTTATTTACGTTACATACATATAAACATGTATAGATCTAAAAACAAATGACTTTTTAAAACGCAACACAAAACATTTTCTGTTCGTGAGTATGATTCTATGAGTATATCTCAATTACATCGCCTTTTATTGTTATTGCATGCAATTTGATTTTATTTGTAAGTAATTCGTATACATAAATACACACATGTTCATACATACATATATATATCTGAAGTCTTTTTTCAATACTTCGAGTTGCTATTTGCGGATTTAGGTGCTTAAGTGTGCCATCACATACTGACACTGCTACAACGACTCTATTTACTATTCACCATTCACTACTTATCTGCTGCCTTTTATGTCTTTGCCTATGTGCATGTATACCAGTGTACGCCATCATTATATTCCGAAATTGAGTTCTCATTCTTTTCCACAAAGCCTGTGTATTCACCTACTTTTTCATTGTTCCATATTGCTTTTTCATTGATTTGGTCTATTTTTCGATTTTCCTTTTTGTTTGCTGGTCATTATTGTTTAGTCAACAATAAGGCAACAACAAAAAGTGCCCTATACCCGCTCCATGAAAGTATTTGTGGAGGCGATCAAACAAAAAGCGACTCTGAGTGAAGGTTGCTGGGTGAGCATAATAACAATAATAATAAATAAGCGCATGAAAGCGTAAAAATAGAAATTTAATTGATTTTAAATTACTTGCACTACTCACATTTTGAAAGGAAGTAAAATAAAATAAAATAAAATAAAATCATATAAAATAAATAAAATTAAATAAAATAAAATAAAATAAAATAAAATAAAATAAAATAAAATAAAATAAAATAAAATAAAATAAAATAAAATTTAAATTTAATCAAAATGAACAAAAAAGCAGAAAAAATAAAACTAAATAAAATAAAATGTAAAACTAAATAAAAAAAAAATAATATACACAAATATTAACTTAAAAACCAAAATAACAAAAAAGTAAAATAAGATAAAATATATTTGATAAATTCAATAACATTAATTAAGATATAAGCCCAAGTTAAATAAAATACGATAAACTAAGGTTTTAAAAATTAATTAAATAAAAAAAGAATAAGCTAAAACGAAAAAAAATTAACAAAATTAAAGTTATTAAATAACAAAAAATAACATAATTGAACTAAAAAAAATTTGAACAAAAAATATAAGTTAAATAAAATAAATTATGGGAACCTAAGGTAAATAAGTAAAATATAAACTACAAAAATTAAAATATAAATATAAAATGAATCAAAATGAAATAAAATGAAATAAAGTATCAAAATAAAATATTTTAAATCAAAATGAACTGAAATAAATAAAATAAAATTATACAAAAAAATTGAAAAATAGAAAAAATAAATTTATTGAATTCAATTACATTAGTTAAAATATGAAACCAAATAAGATAAAACCATGAAACTGAGTAATTAAAATTAAAATAAATAAAAAATAAAAAATAAAAAAATGAAATAATATTATAAAACATAATTTAATTTAATAAAATAACACAAAAAATATATAGTTACAATTAAATAGAGTAAACAATTTAAAAATATATAAAGTTAAATAAAAGAAAATATAACAAAAGCCATTAAAATAAAATATACATAAAATGAAAAAAATAAATAACATACGAAAATGAAATGATAATAAACATAAAGTAAAATAGAATAAAACATATAAAATAATGTAAAAAAATAATATAAAATATAAAAGCTTTAATTTAATTTAATCCAGTAAAACAAAACAAAGTAAAATAAATAGAAAATTAATATAAAACAAAATAGAGAAAATAAAATAAAATAAAGAAAATAAAATTTTACCTCATTGGAATAAAAAAAAATACAAATTAACATAATAAAAAGTTAATAATACCAAAAAATAATAAAGAAAAAATGATATTATTATACATATATTTGCATATATGAAGTATTTTTTCAGCATTCCAAACTCTTAGAGTTTCGCAGTTTTTACTACCAACAGTTAGTTTCCTGGCACTGCTGTATCCCCAAAATAAAGCGTCTTCTCAAAAGTAACTCTCCGTCTTTTTATTTCAAAACAATAAGCTAATCAAGACAAGATGTCTCTACAAATCCACGATAATCGTATGAGTTGAACAAATTACATGTTGTTTATAACATTCCAGCAATTTATACTAAAAACAAAACCAACAACCAAATAACTGCGAACAACTTCACATAAGAACATCTGTGTATGTGTATAACATGTGTATGTGTAAGTTCCCACATGCGAATGATTGTAAAAATATTTGTTGAAAAGTTGTCTTCTATAATCGATTCGTCACGAAAATACTCACATACACACACACACACACACACAGTAACATATGTAGTGAAATATAGTGAATTAGATGCTGTCATCGTCATCAGCAAAACAAACAACAAAACACCAGTAGCAACCCTAAGTTTTGTGAATAAACTTTTGTAGACACATTCAGCAAGCAACTTCCTTGGCAGGGAAAGGACGAAAAGTATTTGATGCTTCAAATCGTTGAAAAGAAAATTCGTTTCAATTTCAAAGCGAGTAATCCATCAGACATCAAGTTCTTCTTTTCACGGTAATAGTTAAAGCAGCAAACAATAATAAAAAAACTAGCAATAGTCAACAGTAAAGAACACCAAAAAAAAACAAAAAAAAAAACACTCGATGTGTGTTTCGCACGCTCAAGTTTTGAACTTTTTTTCTGGCTGATGAGCTGAAGTGTTGGATTGACAGCGATTATGGCGACCTCAAGTGGTATTTCATTTGATAATCTCAAGTACAATAGCAAACATTTTGTCGAAATTCAGCAGGGAGCGTGAGTTTTTGGGTAAGTAAAATACGTACAAGAACCCTCCCGCGGCAGATGAAGTACATATTTTATTTAATTTAATTTTTCTTTAATTTTTTATTATATTTCTGAATTATTTGATTTTATTCGATTTTACTTTATAGTGGTAAAGTCAAAAGTTCGTTCGGTTTTTATTGATTTTTCAATATATGATAATTTTGTGTAAATTCTTGTTGCCAACGAGGTGACAACTTCATTATACCTCTCTCGTAGAAGGTTGCGTCCATATTGGCAAGAAACTGGGAGAGCCATTTTTCACAAACCTCTCTTGAGGCCAACTTCTCACCATTAAGCGCGTTCGCCATGGACAGGAAAAGATGATAACCACTTGGTGCCAGGTCCGGACTATAAGGTGGGTGCATTAAGACCTCCCATCCGAGCTCCTGGTGCGTCACCAAAGACGTTTGTGACCTGGCGTTGTCCTGATGGAAGACAATTCGGCCTCTGTTGATCAAAGATGGCCTCTTCTGGATGAGTGCTGTCTTCAAGCGGTCCATTTGTTGGCAGTAGACGGCGTAATTGACCATAGGTGAGCCTCTCGTAGTACATGTTTTTATTGCCCATCCCACCAAACACACAGCAAAATCTTCCTTGCCGTCAGTCCAGTCTTGGCCACCGGCTTGACCGCTTCCCCGATCCGTTTGCGCTCGATCTTGCTGCAATTCAGCAGCGATTCGCAGATGGAATTTCGGTCGATCATGATTTTTTTTTGCGTTAGTACGTGTAGAACAAAAACATTGAGCTTCTCTTTGAACCCAAGGTTATGCAACTGGTTCCAGATGGTTTTCTGGCTTAACTTTAGTTCCTCAGCAATTAAATAAGTCTCAGGGGACGGTCTTTTTTCACTATTTCCAAGATTTTATCGCAATTTTCGACGACAGGCCTTCCGACGAGTGGTGGTGCATCTTTGACATCTTCATTCATTACCAGAACGGAACCTAGGAAACCACTTTTGTGCTACACGTTCGTTTACAGTATCGGGCCCATAAACTTAATTAATTTTTTCAGCCGCTTTGGCTGCTTTTTCGCCTTTATCGAAGAAAAATTGTAAAATAAACACGTTTTTAGCGCCGTATAGTATGATATGATGCGACACGTAGCACTAGTACTATGAACAATAACGCCATCTCTTAGATAAAAACCGAACGAACTTTTTACTGGACCTAATATTATTTTATTTTATATTATTTCATTTTATATTATTTTATTTGAAATATTTTTATTTTAATTTATTCAATTTGGTTCATTTTATTTTACTTTTTTATTTTATTTTATTGAATTTTTTTATATAATTTTACTTTATTTTAATTTTTTCTAATTTTTTTTACTTTATTTTATTTCTTTTTTTAACTTAATATTTTCTTCTTGTATTACATTTTAAAATATTCTTCACGTTCTACATATCTGCTTCTTGTACTTACGTTTGCATACTTTGCGATGATTCAGTGGCTTTGTAGCATCTCTGTAATAACCCTCGCGGCAATAGTGGCAATAACGGCCCGTGGTATCGTGCTGACAGTTGTAGCAAACTCCACCCGAAACACGTCCAGATAGTTTATACAGTTCCAGGTTGAAGCGACAGCGTCTGGCATGACCATTACATTGGCACACTGAAAAGAGAGAAGCGAAAATAAGTTAATTAATACTGAAAATAGTAATAAATTAAATTATAAAGACATAAAAATATTTTTTTTAAGCAGAAAAAAATGTTATCTCGCCTCTACGAATTAAAAAAAAAATTGATTTGCATTATCTATAAAATAGCATTTCCTAAAACATAAAACACAAAGTTCATTATTCCTAATAATTATTTTCATAAAAAGCATGTAAAACCGAAGCCAACAACAATAACAATGAAAATTACCACATTGCCACCAACCATTAATTATGTGACCGACGACCGAACGGCCGTGCCAAGCGGCGGTTATTTAATACACCAATACTTCATATTTCTGCCACTATTTCCGGCATTTTTGTGCTTTTATTCCAAATTGTTGTTATTATTTTTTTGAAATTGTTTCAACTCAACTTTACAAATGGTACTTTATACTCAGTGCGTATTGTTTGTAGGCTATGAAAGGTGAGCGTGAAATATGTGCATACTTTTGCTCAACAAACTCACATACTTTCGTGTGTAATTCAATTTTGTAACCACAATTCCATTGGCAAGTGGTGGGCGACCACTTGCAAAAACAACAACAACAAAAAGCGTACAACATTAAACGGTAGTTGGAAATGTGAATTGTATAGCCGAATGGATGCCAAAACTTTGTACGCATATACAAAAGCATAAAAAAATATATTTTTCATTCAATGAACCCTGTAGGAAGGAGTCAATGTTGCAATAATGCATACATTTAAACACAAACAAATACGAGAAAACTCAATGAAAGTTTACAGTCCAGCTTACATTTTAGGAAAAAATGTATTGATTTAATTTCACTTAATTTTTTTCATATTATTTTATATAGTTTTAGTTTATTTTCTTATGTTTGAATTTATTTTGTTTATTTTTTATTCAATTTATCTTATTATATTTTACTTTGTTTTGTTTTGCCTCATTTCACTTTATTTTATTTTCTTTTTTACTTCATTTCATTATATTTATTTTAATTTATTGAGTTTAATGTAATTTTATTCTGTGTTCTTTTATTTTATATTTTATTTCAGATTATTCTTTTTTTATTTTTAATTTATTTGATTGTATTTTATTTATATTTTTTTTAGTTTTTTAAATTGAGATATTTAATTATAATATTTTTTGTTATGTCTTATTTTATATATTTTATTTTATTATATTTTATTTTATTTTATTTTATTTTTTTATTTTATTTTAGTGTATTTTATGTTCAGCTGGTGGAGTATT